CGTACATGTGAATGCCCCTCGAGTTGTGCGTGTGGTCTGCGTGTGTTGATGAGTGCCTGTGAGCACATGTGCATGCATTCAGGTCTGTGCACGTGTCCAGTGGGAAGCCATCAGTCGATGAGAAGGGTGTGCGGGTGTCTCTATTGTTGCCTCTGTGGAGTTGCATGAGTGTGCATTTGTGCACACGAGTGTGTAGTGCTGTGATTGGGGGTGTGTGCAGGTGTCTGATGAGACATATGTCAGCATGCATGTATCTGTGTGTACCTGGGTCTCCTGTGCGTGCATGTGCCCATGTGTGCATCCCATGTGCCCCCATGCCCACTCACGTGCATGTATACCTAACAGCCATATGTGCCAGTGTAATGACATGTGTGGCTGTGTCCTCTGGCATGTGCTGAGCCATGGTGGAGCAGGCAGGCAAAGGTCCCTGTCTCAGGCAGCCCTTGGGAGTGGGCTTGAATGACTCCAGTGCTCAGGCACCCCTGAGGCTTCCAGCTGCATCTTTCTATCACTCCTAGGCGTGGCTGTGGGAATCCTTTGGGTGCCTTTGGGTTCTGGGAAGCTGGGGCTGTGTGGGCCGGGCGGCAAACTGGGCTGTGGAGCAATCTGCCAGCCGAGCCCCTTCCGGAGCTGTGGGTTCTTCTGGGTGTGGGGAAGCTGCCCTCCACCACCTCCTCGGCCTATCTTGGTGCCTCCTGGAGCGCAGGACACACCTCCCAGCCTGCAGCTTCACCCACAGGAAGCTCGGGCTGGGGGCAGGCGAAGAGGGAGGTGCCACGTTGGGCGCCCCGCCCTGTGCCGGCACTGACCCTGCCATACCACGGTCCTCTTGCAGACAGCCCCGGGGACATCGCTGGGACCCGGGGCTCTGCAGTCACAACCATGTTTGGCCGGAAGCGCAGCGTCTCCTTTGGGGGCTTCGGATGGTGGGTGACAGGTGGGAGGGCGGTCGAGTGATGGGAGATAACTTACTTAGAAGTGAAGTCTTGTTGAGTACATTGGCGGCCGTGGGAACAGAGGGGCGCGCGGCTGTGCCTGAGAGCTGGGTCTGCTGATGCCCTGGCAGGTGGAGATGCAGGATCCCGGTGGGGACGTCAGAGACCGTAAGCCTTCCCTGCTGTCTCTGGGCACAATCTGCTGGTGAATCCTGCAGGTCTGTGCCGGCTGTCCGTAGGCGGGTGAGCACTCGAGTGCGTGTGACTGCAGTTGAATGTCTGTGTCTCTGTGTCCGCAGGTTCCTGCGTATGTGTGTGTGTGTGTGTGTCTGGGATTATGTGTAAGTGTGTGTGTGAGCCTGTGTGTGCAGGCGTGTGTGGCTGTGACTGGCACTCCATGTGACCGTGTGTGAGCCTGTGCCTGTGTGTGTGGCCATGCGTGCACTCCGTGTCTGAGCTGCTGCGTGTGTGTGTGTGTGATGCTCCTGTCTATGCTGTTGGTGTGGCCTTGCGGTGGGGGGTCTGTGACCTCTGGGCCCCTGGGCTGCCTGCTCTCTTGGGGGTGGGTTGCGAGAGGAGGTCTCCCACCTGCATGCCAGGCAGCCCACCCTAGCTCTGTCCTAGCAGCTGCATCTGTCGCCAGCCTCCTGCTTGGACCTCTGGCCTCTCTTGCTTCTAAGCTTCTGTCTGGGACGAGGGATGTGCTGTTTCCTCCCTGGGGGGCAGAAAGTAGGCACACAGAGGCCAACGGCTTGTCTCTGGTTCCCAGTGCTGGCAGCTTCTCCGCAGCTGGGGAACAGAGTCTGGTGGTTTTCATGCTCGGTTTCCTTTCAGCTCCTGGGCTGGGGGCACTGTCTGACTGGGAGGGGCTCCGAGGCAGGTGGCTGGGGGTGTCCTGGTGTGGAGAATGGTGGACTAACAGGGGTGGCATGAAGGGGAGGGAGAGAGGGGCTGCGATCCTTGGTAACCTTTCTCTTCCATGTGTGGCTTTTTATGTCCCTCTTCCTCCTCTTCAAAAGCACTTTGCCATTCATCCTCTGGCGGGGAGGGATGTGGGCACCCCATGTGTGGCAGATGGGATGGTGCGGATGAGAAGAAAATGGCACGGTGTGGCCTGTGTCTGCTCTCAGACCCTCCCTGCTGCTGGGGCCTGGGAGCTGCCGCCCTGAGGGTAGGTGCCAGTGTCCGGGAGGCAGCAGAGGAGTTGGCTTCTGGTTGGGAGGGGTGTGTGTGTCTGGGCTGGGAGCCTTGCAGGGCAGGGCCCAGCAGTGAGATTGTACCCTCTGAGGCCCGCCTTTCTCCGGGAGGTGTGGCGCAGATGGAAGGCTGGCCGTCAGAAAGCTCCCTGGGCATGGGTCTGGGTCTCAGCCTCACTTCATTCCATGCGAAGCCCCTGTGCGAAGACCCGCTGCTCCGGAGCTAGGGGCAAAGCCGGGCCTGAGGTTTGCATCTGTGCAGGTGAGGGGGAAGACAGGAGTGTGGCTGCCCAGGGCCGCTTTTGAGGCAGAGCCGAAGGTGGAGGAAGAACCCTAGGATGTCCCAGAGGCCCCCGTGTGTTGACTGAGTGTCCACTGGACTGTGTGTTCTAGGAGGGAAGGCCCTGCCCTGTCGTGTTCACAGAAGCCTGGCCTGTCACACGGGCTCAGTAGATGCAGGTTAACTCACCGAGGTCTTTTGCACACAGCATGTGTCTGCTTGGGGCCCACTGAGGTTGAGGGGATGGTGGGGCCTTCTGGGCTTGGAAGGTTAGGGCAGCAAGAAAGAGGGCGAGACTGGGGTTTGGGCGTCATCTAGGGTGGCTGCCAGCTGGGAGGGGATGTCACAGATTCCTGGAGCCCTGGTCCCTCCAGATGGTGAACAGAGTCTGGAGGAGGGGTAGGGTTTTCCTAGCTGCATTGGATGCAGGGTGGGTAACCTCTGGCCCCAGAGGCAGACAAGGTGATGCGGGTGGGTGGGATGGGGTGGGGGAGGAGGAATGCGGTGGGGGAGGAGGAATGCCTTGGAGCCTTGGCTTCCTGAAAGGGGAAGGCCTAGCCTCACAGCCGCTCTCCATCTCCCATCTCAGCCTCTCCAAAACCACAGCTCCGCCCTCCCGAGGCCTTACCCTGGTGTAGGAACCTTGGTGGGCTGGCTGCTGTGTGGGTGTGGATCAGGGATCAGGGCTGCTGTGACCAGGGTGCCTGTGGGTGGTGTGGTGGGCGGGGCTGACCAGACAGAGGTCAGAGGTGCACGCACCTGGAGCCCAGGTTCCACCGCTGACTCCACCTTGACCACTGAGGAACTCAAATGGGACAATTCCTCTCTCTGGGTCTCAGTTTCCCCATATGTCAACGGGGGAGTTCTACTTTACCAACAGCACAGGGATGTTGTAAGAATTAAGAGATTCTCATGAGGTCAGGAGGTTGAGACCAGCCTGGCCAATATGATGAAATCCTGTCTCTATTAAAAATGTAAAAACTTAGCTGGGTGTGGTGGGCACCTGTAGTCCCAGCTACTCAGGAGGCAGCGGCAGGAGAATCACTTGAACCTGGGAGGTGGAGGTTGCAGTGAGCTGAGATCATGCCACTGGACTCCAGCCTGGGTGACAGAGTGAGACTCCATCTGGAACAAAAAAAAAAAGAATTAAGAGATTCCTTGAGAAAATGTAAAACCTAAGTGTGTATTATTAAGGGTTGCCACTGGTCAGCTCTGGGTTGCAGGCATTACAGCAGAGTGTGGGCTCTGAGTCCTGCCTGGATCTAGGCATCTGTGGGTTGAATGGGGGAAGAGGAGGGTCTGCATCCCAGAGTGGGTGGGGATTCCAGCATGAGACCCACAGGCACCAGTGGTGGAAGTCCCAAGGAAGGGACTCAAGAGAGCCTTTGGGGAAGAAACTGGGAGGGGCGTGGACCAGGCCCCTCGGGGTGCCGCTTACTTTGCTGTTGGAACTGAGATCAAAGGTCCTGGGAGTTTACTCAGAGTAGAAGGACCCCACCCCAGCTCCAGGCCTCAGGGTGACCTGTGGGCTGGCCCAGCTCCGTGTCTGACACCTCTCCTCTCCTCTCCCCTGGAGCTGTGTGTGGGGGAAGCTGGAGGCAGAGCCGAGCCGGCCAGACAAGGGTGCCAGAAAGAACGTCCAGGGTTTCCAGCATCCTGGAGCCAGTGGCAATTTTAGTGAAGCTGATGGTGATGGCGACACTGGTGATAGTGTTGGTGACGCGTGGTCACAGGGACAGTGATGGTGGCACGCATCGTGATGTGTCGAAGGCAGCGTCAGTGCTGGTGGCAGAGCTGGTGACGGAGGTGGTCATGACCCTTCCACAAGAAGAGATACTGACAGTGGGAATGCTGCCCACCTTTCTGCCTCTGGAGAGGGAGGAGGGGCCTCTTTGTGCCAGCCATAAGGGCTGGCATATGCAAGGGTAAAAATAGAAGCTCGGTGGTGCTGCCTCCCTTTCCAGCAAGGGCGGGCGCAGGCTGGGGGTGGAGGAGCTGGCTGCCAAGATGGTCTGCAGCAAACATGATCTTCCCCGCCCTGAACTTCTGTGCCTGATATGACCCCCACAGGTTCTACCCCAGGAGCAGAGTCTGCTTCCCTGGATGGACTGGCAGCTTCTAGGGCAGGAGGGTCCCTGGTGCTGGGGGTGCCTACATCTTCCCAAATCAGACACCTGGGAAATATGGATGTCCACCTGATGCTGACCCATGAAGCTGGGCTGCTGAGTCCTCCTGTGGGGGTAGCCCTAATAAAGGGAGAAGCCGCACACAAAGTGCTTACGATCCCTGGGCCTGAAGTGTGATACCTGAATTCAGACCAGGCCAGTGATTTTACCTTTCTGAGCCTCAGTTTTCTCATCTCTGAAATGGGGAGAATTACAGTACCCACGTTATAGGGTGGTGCGTGGCCCCAGCCCTCCCAGCATTCATGGTCATCTCTTCCTCTGCTAATGGGGAATGGGCCCCTGTAGCCGTGCAGACAGAGCCCGCCGTCTGGTGGTCTGGGCTGCCCCGGGGACTCTTCCCTTGCAGCTCTCGTGGGAGCCTTCAGCCTTGCACTTACTGGAATCCTTGCTTTTCCCTTGGCAGGATCGACAAGACCATGCTGGCGAGTCTGAAGGTCAAGTAAGTGGATGTTTCCTGTTCTGTAAAGGCCAGCGATGATGGTGGGTCGGGAGTGCATTTGGGGCCCTCGTTCCCCACAGGTTGTGGGAGACACAAAGGGGCTGTCGTGTTTGTCAGATTCCAGGCCGAGTCCGTGGTGCTTCCAGATTGGAACTTATTCCTGGGGTGTTCAGGGAAAGGTAGGTGTGGGAATGGAATCACAAGGGGCCAGGAGGGAGTGTGTGTAGCAGGTGTGACACTCAGGCCCATTAAATCATCACTTTAATTTTTAGAAAGATAATTATATTGGGCCGGGCGCAGTGGCTAACACCTGTAATCCCAGTACTTTGGGAGGCAGGCAGATCACCTGAGGTCAGGATCGAGACCAGCCTGGCCAACATGGTGAAACTCGTGTCTGTACTCAAAATACAAAAATTAGCTGGGCATGGCGGTGCATTCCTGTAATCTCACCTACTCGGGAGACTGAGGGAGGAGAATTGCTTGAACCCAGGAGGTGGAGGTTGCGGTGAGCTGAGATTGTGCCATTGCACTCCAGCCTGGGAGACAGAGTGATTCCATCTCCAAAAAAAAAAAAAAAAAAGATAATTATATTTTCTATCACTTTAATTTTTATGTGAAGTCCCAATCCTGTCAATGACTTTCTGACATTCCCCACTTACTGGGACCTGACTACACCCCAGGGTGTGTGTGTGTGTGTGTGTGTGTGTGTGTGTGTGTGTGTGTGTTATCAGCTGCTCATCAAGTCATTTGTTGCCAGGTATATCAGCATGGGCAGCCAGGCCCTGGGGCTTTCTGAGGATTCCACACCAGACTCAGAGTCTGGGAGTTGCCTGCCTCAGTTTACTGCATGTCTCTTGGTCCCTCTGCCGAGGTCCTCAGCAGGCACAGCACTCTCCTGGGATCTCCGACCTGTCTACCCTCACCACCTTCATTCCCTTTTCCTCTGTGTTTCTGGCCAGACTCTTTTATCTGAAACCTGATCCCCTTTTTCCTCTGAGACTTAACCAGAGTATAGCCTACTTCTAGCTGCACCCGTCCCTTGGGGCAGTGAGTACTGACTAACCACTTGCTCCTATGGAGTGAATTGAAAAGGAGGGAAATTCTAGGAGGAAAAAAGCATTGGCCTTGGGTTGAAAATATTCTCCTGGCACGTGTGAATCGGCTTTTGCATGGAAAATTCCTCCAATGAGCCGCCCTCATTCTGAGGCAGCTTCCCTGGGTCGTCACTCCCCATCTCGGCAGAAGGCTTTTCCTGCCTGGTCTCCCTCTGTCATGCCGTTCAGTTACCGGCACTGGTTGTGTATTGTCCTTGGACGCAGGTCTCTGGGCAAAGCACGGCCAGTCTTGAGGGCTGGCATAGAAGGGGGTCAAAATAAGAGACTTCCCACTTTGGCTGGTTTTGCTTGAAAAGCTGAGGCTAGGCAGTGAGCAGGGCTGGGATCAGGGACAGTCTGTTCCTCCCCTTTGAGAGCTTTCAGTTTTTCTGTTGAGCTGATGCCAGGAGGCCAGGCGTGGTGGCTCACACCTGTAATCCCAGCACTTTGGGAGGCTGAGGTGGGTGGATCGCCTGAGGTCAGGAGTTCGAGACCAGTCTGGCCAACATGGTGAAACCCCGCCTCTACTAAAAATAGAAAAAATTAGTTGGGTGCAGTGGCAGGCGCCTGTAATCCCAGCTACTCGGGAGGCTGAGGCAGGAGAATCGCTTGAACCTGGGAGGTAGAGGTTGCGGTGAGCCAAGATCGCACCACTCTACTCCAGCCGGGGCAACAAGAGTAAAACTTCATCTAAAAAAGTCTAGAGCTCAGGCCAGAGTGCCATGGAGTAGTCCCGAAAGACTGCCTGGAGGAGGTGGCCTCTAAAGCAGCTCTTAAAGATGGCACAGGACAGTGGGACCCCCAAGCCTGTGCTGGCTTGGCATGGTGTGTGCATCAGGGCGTGTGTACATCATTCAGTCTGGGGGTGTCTGGCCTTTAGTTTCCATGCCTTTTGTCCAATGGGCACATAGTGTCTGGCTTTCCTAGAGCATATCTGCATACTGAGTGAGATGCCGGCGTGAAGCAGAGTTACTGAGGGGTGTGGAGTGGTAAGAGTGTTCTTTTGGTACTGTTTTGGGACATCCAGTTCAATTTCACAAGCATTTATCAAGAGAGGGCCTGTTTGTAAATATAATGTTTGTAACCTGGAAGTGTACCAGTTACAGGGTTGAGGGAAAAGCTGTGGGCATGGGCCAGTGTTGAGATTGGGACCCCAATGGGTCTTTGGGTGTTATCTGGGAAGGTGATACTGGGATGATGGCTTGGGACAATGTGTAGCACTGTATTGTTAGTTTTATTGGTTAAGATTCCTTTGATTGCAAGAAACAAAAATCCGGTATTATCTGGTTAAGCAAAAGATGGAACTTATGGGAAAGAAACCAGGGTACCCCCAGGGAACCCAAGGGGAGGAAGCAGAGCCAGAGCTCAGGAGCAGTTGAACAAGGAACTGGAAACCCATTGCCATCAAAATCCCAGCTAGCTTCTTCGCACACATTGATAAGCTGATCCTGAGATTCACATAGACGTTCAAAGGTACTCAAAAAAGAAGAACAAAGATGGTGGACTCATACTTCCTGATTTCAAAACGTATTGCAGCCAGGTTTGGTGGCTCATGCCTGTAATCCCAGCACTTTGGGAAGCCGAGGTGGGCAGATCATTTGAGGTCAAGAGTTTGCCACCAGCCTGGCCAACATGGTGAAACCCCATCTCTACTAAAAATAAAAAAATTAACCCAGCATGGTGGTACACACCTGTAATCCCATCAACTTGGGAGGCTGAGACAGGAGAATTGCTTGAACCTGGGAGATGGATATTGCAGTGAGCTGAGATCATGTCATTACACTGCAGCCTGTGTGACATAGCACAATTTTTTGAGATTCTGTCTCAAAAAAAAAAGTATTGCAAAGCTATAGTAATTAATACAGTATGGTACTGACATAAAGATGGGATGGGCAAACAGGCTGATCCAGTAGAATTCAGAGTTCAGAGATAAGCCCTTGTGTTTGTGGTCAATTGATGAGGTAGCCAAGTGCCAACTGTTGGGGCCCCTGAGTCACCAAGATGCCTCCTCCCTCTGCCTCTGCTGGGTGAGGGATCTTTCCTTCTACAGCAGCATGCTGCATTCCCTGCCATGTAGCAGATCCTCCTGGGCTGCGGCCCGTGCTCCCTGGTTGCCATGGCTCCCTTCCCAGGGACCTGGTGTCCTTGATGCCTCCCCAGGTGTCCCTGAGGCATGCAGCTCTGACGATGGGGGTCTGGCCTCACCATTACTAAGCATCAACTGTGTGCTAAGTCTTCATTGCTCTGTTTTCCCGAGGCTTTGCAGCCACCTCATGAAGCAGGTACCATTACTCTCTGCATTTTACAGATGAGAAAATGGAGACTGGGTGTGGCGGCTCACACCTATAATCCCAGCACTTTGGGAGGCCACGGTGGGCGGATCACGAGGTTAGGAGTTCAAGACCAATCTGGCCAATATAGTGAAACCCTATTTCTACTAAAAATACAAACCATTACCCAGGTGTATTCGTGTGTGCCTGTAATCCCAGCTACTCAGGAGGCTGAGGCAGGAGAATCACATGAAACCGGGAGGCGGAGGTTGCAGTGAGCTGAGATTGCACCATTGCACTCCAGCCTGGGTGACAGTTCGAGACTCTGTCTCAAAAAAAAAAAAAAAAAAAAAAAAAAAGAAAAGAAAAGAAAAAAAGGAATTGGAGGCCCCTAGAGTTTAGGAGATTCGCTTAAGGTCTTTGGTGAGGAAGTCACAGAGCTGGGATTTGAATCTGGGTCTGTGCTTTGTGGGTGGAGCTGCGTGGTTCTCAGCACCTGTCTCCCGCCCTACTTTCTATTTTCTTTCCCTGATGTGCTTGGCGGCCATGTATATAGAATCTGTGGCTGCAGAATGCACCTCTGCCTCCACAGCACCATGTGTGAGAAGGGCCCTGGTTTGCTGGGGCCCATTCCCTTGCTGGAGGCCTGGATTGAATGGGGTCTGTGGTGCTGGATGAGTTGGACACTCAGAAGCAAGGATTTACTTAACTGCCGTGTGGGGTCTAGGGGCCACGGAGCCATGCTGGAATGCTGGAGGGGAGGTGGCTACAGTATCACGCAGGAGGAGGAGGCTTGTGTGTGGGCTAGAACCCCAGGCTAATGCATGGGCAGATCGTGAACTTCTCTGGGTCAGTTTCCCCATCTGTAAAATGGGAAGGATGGATCAGTGCCCAGCTGCTCTCTTCTAGCCTTCACGTTCTAAGAGTCTGCATCCACAGCTGGGGTCCTTCTGTGTTTTTCTCAGGTCCTTGGTGATGGTAGGGGCTCACTGTTGAGTGAGTGCATGCCTGTATGAATGGAAGTCTTGGTGAGCAGGGGCTCTGCACATTTCATCTCTGACTCCTTAGGGCCTGCCCCGTGCCTGGCACAAAGCAGGTTTTGAGTCTGAATGTGTTTGCTGGATGAATCAGTTACGGGGCGTCGTGGTTGGCCCATCACATGCAGGTGGAAGGCTGGAGAGAAAGAGGCAGGCTTAGCAAGTGGGCTCCCTCCTCTCCCATTTGCTCTGGGGGCCAGCTGGGGACAAGGTCCCTGTCGGCCAGGCGCCTGGAGTTTTCCTGTGGAGATCCTTGAAGCAGCAGCTGGAGGGGGAGGATCTGAGCCAGGACCCTCTGAGTTGTTCCTCGGCTCCTTTTTTTTTTTTGAGATGGAGTCTCCCTCTTGTCGCCCAGGCTGGTGGGGTGCAGTGGCACGATCTCAGCTGACTGCAACCACTGCCTCCCAGGTTCAAGCTATTCTTTGGGCTACAGGCATGTGCCACCATGCCCAGCTTTTTTTTTTATGTTTAATTTTTTTGATTTTTAGTAGAGATGGGTTTCGCCATGTTGGCCAGGCTGGTCTCGAACTCCCTACCTCAGGTGATCCGCCCGCCTCAGCCTCCCAAAGTACTGGGATTATAGGCGTGAGCCACTGCAC